TTTGCCAATTATGCTCTGGTAAATATTCGAAAATATTGTAATTGCAATAAGTTACAATTCGACAAGTCTGGCATTATGTATGTACTGTACCTTAGGTCTGACACAAATTAATTCCAAAGCTCGATTTTAAATTTTGTATACAATATATTTTTCTGTTCCTGGTCTTGCGCGCAGCTACTTATTTTAACTATAAAGAGAAAATTTGCAAATCTTATCTAATAAGATTGGCAGGTTTTTGCAGCAATTATATCAACTTGTGGCTGATTTTGCTGCTAACCAATTTGGTCAAAACTAGTTGCAAATTCAAGTATATATTTAATAAAAACTGTTTAAAAAATAAACCAGATTTAATCAAGAAGTTTGTTCTCGAGAGTTGCACCGATTGAAATTTATTATTAATAGAGTAACCAAAATGGTTATCTATTTTTTTTTGGTAAGGTGAAGCAAGACTGTACTAGAAACTTATAGCAATAATAATTATTAAAAAATTTATGTTTATTGCCGTAATGATTATATATTTGAATACCATAAGTTATTGTAAAAAATTGTTTAAAGGTAATAGCTAGAAGCCTTTATAAATTAAAATTTTAGATGCCAGTACTAAATTTTTAATTAGATAATCGCTTTTTGAAGCCATAATTATAGTTGATTGAAGGATAAAAAAAGATAGTTCAAGTATGAATCGTTATAATTGTGTCAAGTTTGAGTATTATCTCAATTATAGCTGATTAAGGGTAGTGCTTAAGGGTGCTTGAGAATAGCCTTTATTAATAATGATAAAAATGTAACTTGGATAAAAAATTAATAACGATAATATCAGATATATTTATTTAAAATAGTTTAAGTTATATAAATAAAATCATCTTTGTTCTGTACTGAATTTAAAACAAATTGGATTTGTAAAATAATGTAATCATTTAATAAATTAACATTTAAATATTATTATATCTACTGCTTCTAAATTGTTTATACTTACTATTTCTGATTTATTTATTCTTTAATAAAAACGAATCTAATTTTGTTTGCTTTGAATTTTTTTTTGTTAAATAAGCAAGCTCTTTTTGCATCCGTTTAAGTTCAGCAAAAACTTTAATATCAATTTGAAAATTTGATTCAAGCTGTTTAATATAACCCAATACTGAATCTATTCCAGAAACAGCTTGAGTTGGCGTAACAGGTTTTTGCTTCTCTAGTTCTTCTTCTTCGGTTTCACTTTCTTGTATTTCTTTTATAAGCTCGTTAATTGTAGGCATTTCACCTGTTGCATATTTATTATCAATTTCGATAAACTCATGTATAGAAATATTTAAATGCTCAGGGTTTTAGGATTTTTTAAATCCTGAAATTGTGTAATGAGATTTTCTAATTCTGTTTTCTCATTGTCATTATTTATTATAGCTAAAACTTTTGTATTCAGACATTCATCAATTTCTGCAAAAGGAAGAATACTAGTTTTTTGTCATGAATGAATAATTGTATCTTCAGAAACCTTATTCTATGCCTGTGCAACAAACTGAATTGCATCATAAATTGTAACAGGATCTGGGGGTTCATTGGTTAGATTTGCTTCATCAAATACAGCAATTCAGTTTTGTAATAATAGCTTGCGATAGTGATACTAAATTGTATAAATGTTATTGTTGTTAACAATTATTTAAAATTTAAAAAAAAATTTAATACTAACCTTAAATAAGCAGATGATTCCAGCATCGCATGGTTGTAACTATGCCGTAGTATTTTTTGGAAGAAAAACTACATTAATATTAGACAAATTCGAACCTTCAATAGAATATGCTGAACAATTATCTACAAGTAAAAGAATTTTTCGATAAGCAAGACACATTTGACTATCTAATTGTGATAACCCAGTTTTGAAAAATCGAAATCTGCATCCAGGCCTTTTTGTTCCAATAATATTTGACAGATAAAGTTGATTTTTTTATTCCTCTTATCGCATGCGGATTTTCAAATTTATGAATAAAGACTGGAGGCAATTTATAACCAACTGCATTGCATGTTAACATTATTATAACCCGATTTTTTGGCTTTTTAACACCCACAATACGACCATGAGTAAGTGATTTTGAAGGTTCTAAGAGCCAATAAAGTGCTATCTCATCGCAATTATAAACATCTACAAGATCATAATTTGCTATATTATTTTGTAAAGATAAACGAAACTTTGGCAATTTTTCAACTAGGGCACTAGCAGCCTCACTACCTTGTGTAGTACAAACAATATGGTATCGTTTTTTAAAGCCTTGCAACCAACCATCAAAAACAGCAAAATTTTGAATATCTAAAGTATTTGCAATTTGTTTTGCTTTTTCTTGCAAGATTAAACCTGTAATTGTAATATGATTTTCTAATGCAAGATCGAACCAACGTGCAAGAATTTCTTCTAATTGTGGATGATCGGGTAATCTGTTTCGTTTTTGTTGTGCAGCAGTATTTTCGTCATCTAAACTAAGCCAATAAGTTGACTTTGCAAGAATATCAGCTACTATTAACTGGCTAATTTCAAATTTACCTGCTAATTCTTGCTGTGTAAAATTTGGATTATTTTGTGCTAATTGGCATAATTTTTTTTTTTGCTTGCACTTAATATTTTTCGAGGTTTTTTTTGATATTGTTTCTTTAGCTTTACCCTTACGTTTAGCAGAAATAATTTCACTATCAGACATATTGTTACTAGCAAAAGCAATTTTAAAAATTTATTTATATATATATATATATATATTTTATGTAATTAATTTATTTTATTAAAAAAACTTTTTTTTATTCTTTATTATTTATGCTTTATATCCTATTTGAGTTAAAGAGTGGTGATATAATAAGCATAAATTACTTTATGAATTTAGCAAAATGGTTGTAAGAAATTGTCAATGCTAGCTTATCTATATAAATATATAATATAAATTAATAATCTAATTCTTACAAAGATCGAAAAAATGCAAGCCACAATTCTAGTTAATTTGACCAAATCAGACATACAATTAATATCGTATGAACAAGCATGTGTTTGATTTTTGTGCAAGTTAGAATTCTAGTTGAAAACCAAATTAGGCATTTAATTAATATCACATGAACAGGCACATATATTCAAAATAAATATGATTAGATAATATTCCCATTGATAGATCAAATAAAAAAATAGCTATTATGACAAGTATAATAATATTTTTCTCACAAGAAGAGAAATTTGATATTTTGCATTTAACTATATAACAAATATAGCAAAGATATATAGTATCAATATTAAAATCTTCTTATATTGTATATCGATATGATAACACCAGATATTAAGTGCTTGGCTATAATTTATT